ATCTTTTTTTTTTTTTTTAATTAACAATATATGAAAAATTTATAAAATTGAATAATCGAAATTAATTGTTTCCTTTATTATATTTAAATAGTGGGTGTCAATAACTAGTTGATACTTTTTAAGTTGAATCTCATATTGACAGCCATTCGACAGCGCTATCACGCTTTTTTTTTACTTTAATCTAAAAAATTAACTGTAAGAGTTTGAACTCTTCTGATTAAATAAATTATTTTTAAATTAATTTTTATTTTTTTTCATAGTAATTAATCATTTATGGAAATTATTATTAATAAACTTTAATAAAATTGATTACTTAATAATAAGTTTGGATAAATAAGAATAAGCAGATGATTGTAGGCATGCTTAGTATAGGTGTCAATAATTGGGGTGAAGGTATGTCAATAATTAGATCAATCAGTTTTTTAACCTGCCAATAATTGGTGTCTCCGGATAATCTATTTAATTATTTAAAATTAATTAGTAAATATCAGTGATTATCATTTTAAAAAATTTGATTAGTAAAAACATTACTTGAGACATTGATTGCTTAAAAAAAATCAAATCATAACTTTGTCTCTTATAGTGTCAATAATTGGGGCTTTTATATAAAAATAAATAATTTGATGTAAATTATGAATAATTTTTGTTGGTAAATTTGATATTTTGCAAGATATCTTAATTTTAGTGTGTTTAAGAAAATGTTTAAGAAAATGTTTGATAATAAAGAACAAAGCTTCTAATGATAGTGATTACTAATAATGATAAGTGATAACTGAATCTGATGGTAGAATTTATCTATGATTATGGTAGCAGGCAATTATAAAAATAAAAAGAATGATACACGCGATGTGAGGAAATTGTTGAAAGGAAATTTGAATATTGGGCTGGGGAATGTAGATGGAAAAATAGTTTAAAAGTGAAAAAAGTAAACTAAACTAACTTTCTCCGCGAAACAATTACAACTTGTAAGAATGTAAATGTGGACGCTCGCTCTGGACGCATACCATTCAAATGTTTATGTATGTTTGTGCCTGACATTAGAATTTCTTATGCTTATTTACGTTACTGTCTCACGCATAACCCATTAGATTTCTAGGTAAGAAAATTTTAAGAAGATAAATTTTAGAAATCAAATTACAATTACTCACCGGCAGGTTATTTGCTTTTCAATTTTTTTCCGACAATAAAATAAATTACTATTTCCATTTCTATTATTCATTTTTCCTTAGTTTTATACATTTCATTTCCATTACTTCTGTTTCACAAGTTACCACCCTTTATACAACTACATTCGCTTTTCAAAAATTTACTTACTTTGATTACATAAAAAATGGCTGTATTTTCCAAACTACTGATTTTAGAAAAAAAAGTTCTAAACAAAAGTTGTTCAAAATAAAATTTCCTACAAATTTTGTTTTATAAATTTTTCTGTAGAATCCTTAGTTCAAAAGTTGCAACGATTCATGCAATCATATACACTTTCCTAAAATTTGAAATTCGCGCTTCTACTAAAAACAGCTCTAGCTCCTAACCTATTGACTTAAGAACAAAAACTTTTAAACAAAAGTTGTTTAAAATAAAATTCTCTATAACTTTTGTTCTGAAAATTTTCCTCTAAAACCCTTAGTTTCCAAATTACATCTATTTCAATAAACATAAATAAGGTAAAAGCCCCAATTATGGACACTATAAGAGACAAAGTTATGATTTGATTTTTTTTAAGCAATCAAATATCAATATCGTTGAATTTTGTTTGTGGTAATGTCTCAAGTAATGTTTTTACTAATCAAATTTTTTAAAATGATAATCACTGATATTTACTAATTAATTTTAAATAATTAAATAGATTATCCGGAGACACCAATTATTGGCAGGTTAAAAAACTGATTGATCTAATTATTGACATACCTTCACCCCAATTATTGACACCTATACTAAGCATGTCTACAATCATCTGCTTATTCTTATTTATCCAAACTTATTATTAAATAATCAATTTTATTAAAGTTTATTAATAATAATTTCCATAAATGATTAATTACTTTTAAAAATATAAAAATTTATTTAAAAATAATTTATTTAATTA